ACAGGCTTCCCGTACGGTCGTGCCTATCGCTATCCTAAATCTTCTAGAGAAGACAACCACTTAGTTCGGATCTCGTCGAACATCCAAACAACCGTCTTAGGCGAGAGGATGGACATGTCTGTACAACTCAGGGATAACCAAAATAATTATATTATCCAACGAGGATGCAATCATGACACCTTGCTCATTACATTTATAAACTTGAAGTTTAACAAGGATCCCAGCACACTTCCGCACAGGGTTCCCGGATGGGCGCGCCTATCGTTATTCGTTTATGAAGTTTAACAAGTATGGATCTCAGCGCACTTTCGTATAGGGTTCCTAGCACGTTTATGAAGTTTAACAAGTAAGGATTCCAACACACTTCCACACAGAATTCCTGGATGAGCGTGCCTATCGTTATAAAGTTTAACAAGTATGGATCTCAACACGCTTCTTCATGCGGTTGAGCCCTGATTGAGCGTGCTTACGTTGCTTAAGCTGCAACCAAAAATGAATTCGTTAGAAAGAGGATACAATATAATGTTTTATTTTAACGAATAACATGTTAATGGCTAGTTCTCCATGAGAAATCCGAAATGGTCGTTAACAGTACAAGCAAGAAAAGGTTTATTGTACAAGGTCGTGCTTTCCTTGGTTTAGGGTACTGAGTCTACCCACAGGCGCCTTAGGGTTCACTTATCAATACCTTTCCGTTCACACATACAAGGTTGACTATGCCCACATTCGATTTCTGGTCTTTCAACTCATCGTTCTCCCATTCCTCTGATTTGGCCAAGATAACTAGTGCTAGGATCTAGTCCCCATCTACCAGCAGTTTAGCAAGTAGGTACGCAATTTCTTCCAGGGCTCGTTGCCTTTTTCCCATCAAATCGACATACATGGAGGGTCAAGGGCGATAGGATTATGCAGGCCGGCGCAGGACACGAGCTCCTGTTCACTGGTTCATATCGCGCTCTGGCCCGACAAGGTCACACTCACGCACCGTTTACTTATAACACAATTATAAAGAAAGAGAACACCCCGGGTCGCTATTTCCCTTCTCCCTTCTGACATACTTGCCTCACACCTATACCAGTCAAGCGTGATTACACGCAAGAGATGGCAAGGGCGATCCAACCAAAAGAAGCACTGAAGGGTTTGACGGTACCATCCGTAAAACTATCGTTCTCGTCCCCTAAATCAACGCATGAGTTGGCAATGTCAGTCACCAGAAACCCTTATTGATTTACCTCATATTTGCTCACAAGAAGTAGGTGACGCCATACAACGAGTTCCCTCATAGACCTCGCTCAACTCTCAGATCCGCTAACCTTCGAGTGCAGACGAGCATAGTATCCTGAGGCTTGTTCCCTAAACTGACACGTGACGACAATATTCTTGGTTCTCGCCAACGATCTCATTAATAGTCTGGTGACATGTCCTCTAATGTGAACTAGTCCCACAACAATTCCCTTTGGGCGTGATTAAACAGTTAATCGAGTCGAGTGCTGACCTCCGAAACTTTGTGCAGATCGTTGGTGCACCGTAGTTACTAGGCTAGCCGAGAGACGAAGGCTCCAGGCCTAGGACCACCCCGATCATTGCTCTCTCTCCACCCTACAGCTACACCGTGAACTCAATTTCTTCACTCTCAAAAGCGAGACCGAAGGGGGTGACACCAGACAAGCCAGCTCCCGCACGATGTTCTCCTTCATTACGCTCTCGTCTCTCATTATTGCTCGTATGGTAAGCGCGCGTCCCTCCAAGACGGCTATGACTGACCATCATCAGTCATAGTTGGCCATACCAAGGCATTTTGGTGACCGCATGGCACCTTTACCTTCAATACAGGCTCAGTAGTGGTTGACAATGACGGTTGACGTCAACCAAAAAAAAGGTGTGCGCACTGTCGGCCCTCTCTCACTCGCGGTGTTACCGACCATGCCCCGTACACCGTTTCAAGCATTCGTCACCAGTCCCTACTCCGATTAGAGATAACCGTTGTCGGACGCTGCCTGCATCCTTGCGGGTGCCTTCTATGCCCGCTTCACTACAGAGTTGGCTCCCTCCTCATACACTTCACCAGCGCGCGCGTACTAGAGTGTCTCCTGCCAGAGGTCGGACTGGCAGACACATGACACATAACACATGAGCCGAGAGGGATTATTAACGTTTACAACAGGGTCTTCCCGTAGCTCCCCCGTGCATTCCTCAATATCACGCCTCTTTTGCCATCCTGCACGCACTGCAAGGAGCCCAAGAGAAGACTCTTCCCTCGCCAGGCTCATGTCGATGCTCAGGGAAAGAAATGCGCACACGTTCCAGCTCCCACCAAGACTCGAAGAGAGAGAGACGGTCTTCCCGCTCTTGGTGGACAAACCCCCAGGTAAGCCGCATGCATATCCGTTAGCAGGTGACATAAAAAAAAAAAACTTCGGGACGACCCCATTCTTTCTCTCTCCGTCTCTGACTATTGCGCGTATACTCTTCCCTCTATCTTGCTCTCACTCTATCTTGCTCTCAATCGTGACTGTCGCCCCTCACAACCACCTTGCGGCCTTGGTCACCACTTCGCGAGTTGACCTCCGGGCCTTTTTCAACTGATGTTGTTGACGGGTGATCTCGGCACTGCCGGTCCCATCCATGCCAGGATTGAATAGCCTCTGCGTCACTCGTTTCAAATTCCCCTTCGGAGTCCCGGTCGAGGCACTGCAACTCCCTGGTTGTAGTCCCAGTCGACGAGTCCTCCTCGTGGTATGTGACTGTCACTCGCATACCCGCAGTCAACCCGTCTCGCCTGCACCTCCGCTCAGCTCTGTTGCGTGCTCGGTAATCGCTGCCTGCAGTTCCTCATCTCTCCTCATTTTCTGCTCCCTGTGGCCGGAGACGTTAATTTTTAACCTCACCTCCCCCGCGGGCTTAGTATGGTCTCCACCAAGGTACCCTTCTCATCGCTCCCACATCCAGGAATATCTCATGTAGCTTGGCCTATACCCACGCATGCCATTTCGGTCTGCTATAGCCACTTCTTCTGTGATAGCCAACGCTTAAGACAAACGCGCCTACACTCTGCAACACACTTTGAGGCACTCGGCACAGAAACCCAAGGACGGCAACAACGCTCACCAACGTGACAATCTCGTCCCCGCATCGAGCACTGCTGGTTAATTCCTCGTAGCACGACAGCCCCTCCTTCTTATAAGGTCGCCATGTGTAGGACTACCTGATTTCTAAACGAAAATACTCAACCATTTTTAGATCGACAAAAATGGAGAATAAATAAGATAAGATAAAAAAATTAAGAAAAAAAACAACAAACCAAACTAAAGAGGCGAAGGCCCCAACGGTCAGGGTGCAACTCTCTGCTATCTATCCCTAGTCCTCTCGTCTTGCCATGGAGTGACTGCAAACCCCCCGTGGTGGCCCCATAACGGGATACCGACGACCAACCTCTTCTCTTCAAAGTACGCCGCTGGACTACCCCTGCTGGGGGCCTATGTCCTCCCACCAGGGGGGGTGATAGGCTTCCTACCGAAGCAGCCTCGGGTACTGCCATTTTGGAATCCCATGTCAATAGCAGCCCATTAGTCGAACTCACGACAACTGGAATGAAAGGGCGGCCAATCTAAGCCACCTGCTTTCGAATTACAGTTCAAATTCGAACCGTTCGCTCCTCGCAAAGCGACTAAGCGAAAAAAAAAGAAAAAAAAAAAAGAAAAAAAAAAAAGAAAAAAAAAAAGAAGGGAAAATTAGACAGGAAAAATAGGTACTAATAATAATGATGATAATATCTAAAGCAAATAGGACCCCTTGCTAGCCCCATACAGAAACAGCTAATTAAATCGGGGTGCAGATCCGACACACGACTTCCCCTGTTGTCTATTTTTCCTTTTCTTTTCCTTTTCTTTGTTTTTTTTTACTTTGATCACGACTGCCCTCTACACTCATCCCATAACTCGACTAGGGGGAACTCGGCGCCATCCTACTTCCTCCGCGTCCCTGGGCGAGCCCGACCCTCTACGACCCATTGCTCAAGTCGTCTTCTGTGAGACATCACTCTCTTCGAGTGGGTGCGCCCTATCTTGAAGAACATACACAAGGTTGTGATGTTCTTCAAAAACATTCAGAAGACCCTCACGTATCATCGGTCCTTGAAGGGTCGAGGGCAGCTAAAGTTGATTTGACCATGTGACACACGGTTCGGGTCAGCATACCAGATGGTGGAGCGCCTCACCGATCAGGAACACATATTGAGGGTTGTTGTGGGCAGTGTGAGACGCCAGTCCACCTCATGGAAGAGGAAGGCAGCCAAGGATGAGCGCCCCATTCGACAACTTGTACTGTCCGACTTGTTTTGGGAGAGTGCGCACCATGTACAGGGCATCATGCAACCGGCGTATTGTCTGTTTCGTGACATGGATAAAGACAGTTCTTTCCCCCCCAACCTTTGGGGGTTTGTGGACAGGATCAAACAGCGAGTTCGCGACACAGGTCTTTCTAGGGAGGAGGAGACAAAGATTTTGGAGAGGAAGTCATGTGTTGATACATGCGCTGCGCCCCTCAACGACTACACGCCAGACATCCCTGCTTGGGATGATGATATAGTCTGAACTTCGTGGCGACACGAAGGAGGAAGGCCTCGGTTGAAATGATGTTCGAAGTTTATTTCAATTAACACAATTGTGTCGCATAAGTAGCGACCTGCACGAATGGTGTAACGACTGCCCGCTGTCTCCAACATGGGCTCAGTGAAATTGAATTCTCCGTGAAGATGCGGAGTACCAGCGGCTAGACGGTAAGACCCTGTGCACCTTTATTATAGCTTTGCATTGACAACCTTGATTGAATGTGTAGGATAGGTGGGAGGTGGTCATCAGTGACTACCAAGCTTGAAATACCACTCTTTCATCTAAGGGTGTCTAACTGCCAAAACAATTGGTTTGGYAGAACCTTGCATGGTGGGTAGTTTATCTGGGGCGGATGCCTTATCTGGGGCGCTTACACAGTAATGTTAAAGGCAAATCTGGCTATATGCTGAAACCTCCGCCGAGTATCCAATAATGAATGCGTCGGTGCGGACAATCAGCAGGGAAGGAAGTCTAAGACCGTAAAGCCTCAACGACTGCACGCCAGACATCCCATATATATAAGATGGGATGATGATACAGTCTGAACTTCCAGGCGACTGGAAGCTCAAGCGTTTCGCTTGGGATCTAATCAATACTTCGTGCCTCCAGGCTCAGGCTTGATTTATCAAAGTGTAGGTACTTGACCTATCAATTTTCATTTCCAAGCGGGATTAGATTAACACAATTGCCTAAAGAGTAACGGAGACGCGCGAAGGTAGGCTCAAGCTAGCGCTTTGCGCAGCTGTAGAGCGTAATGGTCAAAGCTTGCCTGACTGTGAGACCTACAAGTCGAACAGAGACGAAAGTGGTGTACCATTGCAGCACGATGCGTTAGCCAGTGCACGCGTTCACGTACCTTGTGGACCCGCGACTACAAGATGTGTCTACGTTGATCGACACTAGCAGCACGGTTGTGCAAAGTACGCTGGATCATTTGTCCAGGTTCACTGTCGACGGTTTTGGGTCAGAGGATCATGGTAAGTTATGGTTAACTTTGTACTCGTTCCACCATGATGATCCCCATGCGAGCTCCAAGCCAAAATGGTGGACGGACGACAAGGTGAAGGCAGACGCGGGGAGGAGGCACCTCGCAAGTTGGTGGTATCTACATGGTGGCGACTTCTCGTGCTTGCAGGAAGTTGCCATCAACGTGCTCGCTATGTGGTCTACTGCCTCTTCTTGCGAGAGGAACTGGGCCTCGCACGACTTCATTCACACGAAGAGGCACAATAAACTCTCGAGTGATAGTCTGTGGACATCCATTGAAACATGCAACTTCTCCGAGCATAGTCGGGTCGTCGAAGGGGGTTCGTAGATGTTTGGGAGGATATGGTGGAGGTTCCGCCGGAGCCGCAGGTCGGCGCTGTCTCTGAGGAGGTGTATGACATCGACATGGCGATCCTCGAGGAGGTGGAGGCAGAGATGCGCAGTTGGAGCAAGGAGGGGGGGGATCATGGTAGTGCGCGACTATTGCAGGGGCGGAACTACGAGGACGAGGACGCCGAGGACGTCATTTACGAGCTGAATGACGTCTTGGAGAGGAAGGGCATGATTGAGGAGATTGCGACAGCAGGGAAGGGGAAGGAGGTAGTGCGTGACGACCCTCTAATCTCTCGTGTGTGGGACAGGTGGTGGGGCCTTGACATTGTAAATGACCTGGATGGCTACCTGCACGACTCCAGACACACCCTTCATATGATGAAGGACATTCATGAGTGTCGCATACCGGATGAGGGGAGTGCAGGGGTTCAGCGACTATCGTGTGGATACGGGCTTTACTACGACCACCTTCGACGGTGAGGCAGGCTCTAGTGCAGCTACCACAGAGGTAGGATCAACACCAGGGCGGAGCTCGTAGTGTCGCCCCCCTTTACTCCTTCGTTCGGTATGCCATCTGTTGTTGGGGCAGGAGCGGAGCATTATAATGCCCCTATCCCGGGAAGTGTAGCAGAGCAGCCATGTCCTGCCGTTGAGGAGCAGGGGAGTCTCCTGTCATCGAGGAGCGCAAGACGTATGTCATTGTTTCTGAGCAGTCACATCCGATTTTCGAGGATCGGGTGACAGCTCCCGTTGAGGAGGAGTTGGAGGCGGCTACCATTATCTCTGAGCAGCAGACTAGGTTGGACGGCAGGGCGCGAGAGACAAAGGGTGTTCCCACATCATTGTAGTCCGCAGCTGCGTGTACGGGCTCAGATGATACCACCCGTGCATCTTTCCATTCAGAGATGCCCCTCACAATTGGGGAGGTTGTGGCAGGAAATCACACTGGGCACCCGTGTGTGATGGAGAACCACACACACAACTATTTGACAGTAGGAGGGAGCTGTTACGGATGAGGGGGACCACAAGACAAACAAAGGGCCCCCTTCCATAGTCGAGAACATCGACAGAGACCCCTCGTACATTTGAGAGCACGAAGCCACACACAACGACCATGACGACGACGATTGGAGGGAGTCCTGGATCTGGACGACTTCTGCTGCACTTCGGCCCGTATCATTCTATACCGCTCCTCCACTGCCTGTCTTATGCAGTTGTGCTGTGGTCCGCAGACCCGGCTTGACTCTCCCCCTCGTACATCATCTCCTACTGCCACGACGCCTGTTGGGCGGTTGTCGCCATCCATGAGCACTGCAGCACAACATTCGCACGGTAATCAAGGTGTTCCATCGGTGGCCCCAGTTGCTCGCGGTCATTCAGATCCCTTGCGCAGTGGACCGGCCATTTCAGTTGTGGTTCCTCCACTCCCTATACGAGGCTCCACCACACCCCTCACATGATGACGACGACACAGACACTGGAGGGGACACTGATGACATACACTATGCTGAGGAGGTCACGATGGCTGAGTGCTGCTGCTGCACATAGAGAGAGAGAGAGAGAGAGAGAGAGAGAGAGAGAGAGAGAGAGAGAGAGAGAGAGACATGTGTGTGTGTGTGTGTTTGTGTGTGAGAGAGAGAGGTAGGTGTGTGAGAGAGAAAGGTAGGAGTGTATCTTTGTGAGAAATAGAGGTAGGCTTGCGTGTGAGAGAGACAGAGGTAGGTGTGTGCATGTTCGTGAGAGAAAGAGGGGCACATGACTTGCACTTCGAACGTCGTGTACGTGAACACGACAGAGGCATGTGTGTGTGCGTGTTTGTGTGTGAGAGAGAGAGGTAGGTGTGTGAGAGAGAAAGGTAGGTGTGTATCTTTGTGAGAGATAGAGGTAGGCTTGCGTGTGAGAGAGAGAGAGGTAGGTGTGTGCGTGTTTGTGAGAGAGAGAGGGGCACATGACTTGCACTTAGAACATTGTGTACGTGAACACGACTTAGGCATCCAGTGTGCTTGTGTGGACCTTACACTCTGAGTGTGTGCGTGGATCTGACTTTGGCTTCCAGTGTGTGTAGTATGTGGACCTCACTTAAGCTTTCAGTTTGTCTCTGTATACTTGAGTTAGGCTTTCAGTGTGTCTCTGTGTGGACCTCACTTAGGCTCTCAATGTTTGTGTGTGGTTGTGACACACGCTTTTAGTTTGTGTTTGCTGCATGTCAACCTCACTTTATCTTTCAGTGCTAGAGTGAACCTTACTTTGGTTTTCAATGTACCTGACTCGGGCTTTGTATGTACTTGTGTGACAGTGTGTGTTTGTGTGTCTTGTCATATTCGCCATACAGTCAAAAAAAGCATGACTGTACCAGACTGTGTGTGTGTGTGTGTGCGGTTATGCGCGTGTGTCCCGTGTGTGTCTCATGTCCCAACAATGCAGATCACAAATCAATCATCCATGTGTATGTGCGGTAGTGTGTGTGTGTGGGTGTGGGTGTGGGTTTGGGTGTGGGTGTCTCCACTCGTAAACACCCGTGGACAATGATCGAGCTATCAATCAAGCAAGCAATTCATCAAACCAATCAAGCAATCAATCAACCAATTCATACACCAAGCAATCAATCAACAAATCCGTCTACCCATAGTCCTATGAGTCAATGAAGCATACCCCCTGACCCCCCCACCCCCCAACCCCCTCCGAACCCCCTCCCAATTGCCCAACACCCCACCCCAACACCCCACCCCAACACCCCACCCCAACACCCCACCCCCTCCCAACCGCCCAACATAGTGTTTTTTTCGGAGTAGACATAAACACATGAACACATCGAATGGCCAATAAACTGCGTTGGGCCAAAAGCCTTCAAGTTTCATAACTCAGGTAATCCTCCCTGCGAGCAAACCTTTTTTTTTCCGTTTTTTCTGGCCCTTTTCCGATTTATCTGGAAATACGGATAAACCGGATACCGGCTGATGAGGCCGGATATTCCGGTCACTTAATCCGGCCGGCACTACTGTGCTACGCAGAAAATAATAGAGAATGCAAGGTTGGCCACGTTTGTGTAATTCAGCTCCAAGTGCCCACACACCTGTCTGCCGCCAAATTGGCACACTTGCACATATACATATACATATATAATATTGAGCTAAAATTCTTGCAGTTTTAGCTTCTGAAAGAGAGATATTAGTTAATATTTGAGAAATCTCTAGTTCACCCTTTTGGTTAGCCATTTTAGCTGCCCAGTAATGTAAAATATTACTTTTAAAGATTTTTAAATCTAATATAATTTTTAAAACAGAATGAAAATTATTTAATTCAGTCTGACGATATATATATCTCAAACCATAAGGGGATGGAGGGCAGAAGGCAACTTACCTAAGACAGAAGACTACTGCAGCAAGAAGGCACCGACCTGACCCCCTCAAAGGTCCGAAAAAACTGCCGACCACATCGGCCCACAAAACCATAACTCAATTACCAAAAACAATAACATATAACAGCATTGGCATTCCCGACATTCATCTCAAACTACAAACTCGTGTCACTGCCAAAGAGGAAGAAGAAGATAAGAAACAACTTAACAGACGACTCCTCCAGGAAGAACGCACCGACCCCGCCTGCTAAGGGTCCAAAAATTTGGGAAAGCCTTCCACACTGGCCCACAAAACATACCATCCCCCCAAAGAGAACTTGTGGCCACCCATAAACATCCAAACAGCCCATGCTCTAAAGCAGGGCAAAGAATTAGGCCGTGTGTGTGTGTGTGTTTTGAATTTTCACCACAACAGCTGGGTGTGTGTCTGTGATCTGTATCCTCAAGTGTGTGTACGTCTGATGTGTGTGTTGCCACACAATGGCTAAGCGTCTACAAAATCAGTGAAAAGGGTGGTCCGAGAAATGCCTCTTACCCCAGTGAAAGTGTCCCCATGTCCGTGCGGTCACAAAAGGTTGTGTGTTTGTGTGTTTGTGCACGAGTGCATACATTGTGTTTTAGACTGTCACCAGAACAAACCCTTCTCAACCTCGATGCATAGATCCAAAATTGAAACAGCATTGCTTTATAATCTCAATACGATACTCTAAATCTATCTTGACCAGGGTTACATGCCTGCCGACCGCCGACCCCGACCGCCGACTGTTTTGCAGCCGACCAGTAGGGCCTACCGGTGAGCAGTCTGCCGACCAGTCAGAAAACAGCCATCTACTGATTTTTTTCCAAATCTGAGTTAGGGGCTGTACTGCACTTGCTGAGTACAGCCCAAATCCACTGACAAACTATTTGGAATGGGGGGAGGTAAGGGGCAGTCGGGGGGGATATAGGGGGGTTATAAGGGGTATTGGGGGGGGGCAATAACGGTGTTGGGGAGCGATTTGCAGGTGTTGAGCGGGGGTATTGGGGGTGGCTGAGGTAGCCAGACGTGGCCCTCCCTTCTACAGATTTCAAGGGCAGAGAAAACAAATTAGGGCCCCGTATTCCTCATTGCATATAGCGTTTTTTTTTCTCAAGGGACCCCAGCAGAGAATCTGCAGGGCTCATATTTCTCAGCGGAGACACTCGACGAATTTCGGATGAGCGAGGAGCAGGCCAGCAATATATGGTTTGGATCCAAATTCAGGTGTGTGTTCCAGCAGTGATGGGCTACAACTACTTACCGCCGTAACTCTTTCTTTTGTTTTCCTATTCCTATGACCAGTGGCCCTACAGGCCTGGCTCCACTCGTCACCACTTGCACAAAAGACAAAACATATGGTGGCATATGATTCCGTGTTCTAGTAAAAGATTCATTCTAGCTTTGCACATTGGGCGAGTAGTGCAGGGAAGCCCTGAAAATCACGTGGTGAGTTGCCCAGATAATCACGTGCTCTGTGCTCCCATAACTGCTGAAACGCGGACCTTAATGCGAATCTACACCATATATAGTTGGCGTCCTGCTGCCCTGCAATGTGTTTGAGAAGTTCGACTTTCGTGGAGAGGAGGCCCTTGCTTATTATTTGCAGGGGTTTTCTGATTAATGTTAAAGGGCTATTTGTTCTCTCTCTCTCTCTCTCTCTCTCTCTCTCTCTCTCTCTCTCTCTCTCTCTCTCTCTCTCTCTCATGCGAGTTTTCACACATCACATCGGTGTTGGTGGGGCTATTAGGGGTTCTGGACCCTTCTTTTTTCTTTCTTTTTTTTGTCCGGGGTGCCGATGATCCCCGACCGGCAGGTGCCGACCAGCTGACCGGTCGGCTGGTCGGCAACCCACTAGTCAAGGGCTGCCGACCGTCGGCATGTGCAACACTGATCTTGACTGTAACGAAAACGTTACAATGCTGAGTCCCCGGCAGGCACAAGGCTATGTGTGTCTGTGTTTGTGTGTGAGTTGTGTTTGTGTGTACATGTGTGTGTTTGAGCACGATGGAGAGAGCGATGTGATTCAGCCTCAGGGCTTCCCTGCATTTCAGTGTAGATTGTCTGCACCCGGAGACTGGCCTGACCGCACCAATGAGCAGCCTGCACACACGTAGCACCAGCAGTGCGTACCCTCCATACATAGGTGCGTGTTCCAATCACTTGTGATCAGACCACTCCATCGAATCGTAACCAATATAAACTGATGGAAAATCAGAGAGAATTGCAGCAGAAGCGAGTGCTGTCTTCCACATCCCCTGTTGAATCTCAAACATCGTGGCCCAGATGCTAGTGAGCCCGGCACATTATCACAATGAACCTATCCAAGGGCCCACGTGTTGTTACCAAACCAATTGTGCTGCGGCAATTTGTCAGACAAATCCTCCTACTCTAAGAACTTTTACAGAATCAAATGCTCTAAGACTCGGCATCCAAAAAAAAGGGAAGAACTAATAAATGACGAACAACTTCACGTTGGCAAACAAAGCATCATCGATGTTAGTTCACCTGTCTCTCAGTGTGAATCACTGGCTAGACATGGAAGAGGCAAAAATGAACTTCGATTGCTCAGAGCATGCAACCAGCAGACAAAAGCTATGCCTCAAATAGTGAGTGCTGGTTTCACTTCATGGCACACGCCAGAAGAAGTTGAAAACAAGTTCTATCGGAAACGAATCTCATATCATGATGACACACATCCCGCCAATTTTAGTCATCTCCTGAACTTGCAGAATCCTCATCATCGTCCTCACAACCGTCACTTCCACTATCACTGTCGGAGCCGCTTTCGCTAACCGATCCGCTGTCCGACCCACTGTCACTGCTCCCACTAGAGCTTGAGCTCCCAGCTTCACCCTTTCCTCCGGGGCAATGGTCACTATCAATTGCAACAGCAGCATCGGCTTCCGGTGCCACAGCCGCCCCTGTCCCCAACCCGCCACAAGCTTCTCCCTCTTCCTCGCTCTCAAAGTCATTCAACTCGTAGTCGCTTGTATCTTCTTCCCCGACCTCTTCGATGCCTACTTCAATTGTCTCCACCTCCCCAACCTCTGGAAGTTTCTCGGGCTGAGAGACAGCCGCATGATGATCATCACCCAAATCACCAAGAATGTCCACTTCCTCTGCATGCATCGCTGGAGGCGGCAAGGGTGCAGTGCATGCTGCTGCTTTCTGTTTCCGGACCTTCGGCCCGCTGCTGCCCTCCGTCTTTTTGCGCTTTCCTGCAGAAGAACAAACACATGCCACAATGAACCACACACCTACTTAGTACACATCATTTACTGCAAAACTTCACCTGACGTCCCGACAAAAAAGGGAAGAAGATCGAATCAAAACAAAAAAGCAAAAAACAGAAAAGACATAGGAACTACTATCAATGTTCCACAGGAGGGTAGCAGCGAATCGGATGGTCTTCTTCATCACTGATCAATTTCCGGTCGAAAGTTCAATACCACCTAAATGCAAAACAGCAGAGAGGAAGGAGGGCCTAACTCGTAAACCACCAGTACTTCCAGAAGTTGCGGTGTGCATGCAGCCAGCCATTGCTACAGTGCTGCAACATTGCCACCTGAATGAATACATTCCAGCACTGGAGAGGCCCATTCAGGTCGCGGCGCGGATGCAGGCGTGACTTTCGGAAGTACTGGTGGTTTAAAGAAGGAGATCTGGTGAGTGAACATCAAGTAATCGAAGTTCCGTGCTTCAATTAGTCGATGGGATTGGAAGAAAGGTATTGTTTGTTAGATGCAGACATTGCAGAGATATCAAATGCGGTTTATGCCTCATCATTCAATCCGCAGTCAGGATTACAAGCTGGGCTGATCGGAACAACATTCAGAAGAAGAAGAAGAGGAGAAAAAGACGCAATGAACAGAAGTGTACAAAGAAGAGCTGCTCAGGTTCCGGGGTTATGGCAGACAGCTGCGTGTCACATATGGTTGCGATGTCAACACAATGCACACCATAAATGACAAAGTCCCAGTGTATGACAGCGCATATGTATTTCAATCCCTCTGTCTGATGATATTCATCTCTCAGGGGTTATGCTAATGTGTTTTCTATATTGCTCCTGGTTTAAAAAGTTAACTGATTAAGTAAACCGATAATAAAGCATCTGAAACAATAGTTGCAGTTCAAGAGAGAGGGACAGGAAGAGACCCAGCCCCACATGCTTCGAGGGAACCACACGCAAACTCGAGAAGTGACGTACTTGGTGACTGAGTGGTGAGATACACATGCTGCGCACAAGCAGCCAATATGCTCACAGGAACACTTAAATAACACAGCGGCTCCCCGTGCCCAACAAAAGTCCCACATCAGAGCCTTTCATTGCGTCCTGTCACGGGGAAAGGCACACTGGATACCGAAAGTTGCAGTGTGTGCTTTGACACCTTGAGCACCAATGAGTACTGATGACAAAAAGCACAAATGCAACTCATTTCATTGAATGCCGCGCGGAACAATGGATTGCTTAGTTACAGCTCGGAAAATTGTCAAGGCACAAGCAAGTACATGACATGCTTCACAGTGACAGTCTGTTTTTTCCAATTCCTTTTTTTTTTTTTTTTTTTAGTACAAAACAGGGCCTCATGGTTCTGGGGAGATTTTGAGTTGTAAGGATTCCTGGTTCCAGAGTTGGCTCATGACATTCTTGCAAAGAATCGAAGATGCTCAGTTCTTGTCAGGAAGGGTCGTCTTGAATTGCACTTCAAGACCACGAGACTGGTCAGAAACATACCTTTATAGTGTGTACTTCAAAGTTCAGACCATCATAAACACAATTCTTTCTTTTCCCTGGTCACTAATTTAGACATTGTCTCAAATGGAACCAGATTGCACACGGAACAGATCACAACAGACCATTCTTGTTCCATTCTGCTAAATTTCAGAATTTTATGAGACTACTGCTAAATTGTGCTAATATCATAAAATAAAATTGTAAATGTTTGTTGAACTTCGTTCAATCTATCATTATGAAGCAGATGCTAGCAGAATGCCACAGCCGCTGGCTGCTGCTATATAATACAACATAGTAAATGCTTGTCCAATGACATGGCACTTCACAAGTCACAAATCTGGTCATCCGCCATGGCTGAGCTGCAGTGAAGGGATTGCCCACCTCCAGCTGAGACCTTTGGTGTCACTGTCTCATTCTTCACTTCGGGAACCTTCAGCCAAAACCCACCCACCACAAAGTACACATTGCAATGATTCCGACACCGTGAGACGATTGCAGACACAACCACCCCACCCCCCTTCCTCCACAGCGCACACGCACACGCACACACACCCACACCCACACACCCACACATGTCCAAGGCAAGACCACATTCTTCACTCGGGAACCTTCAGCCAAAACCCACCCACCACAAAGTACACATTGCAATGATTCTGACACTGTGAGACGATTGCAGACACAACCACCTCCCCCCCCCCACACACACACATGCTACACACACACACACACACACACACACACACACACACACACACACATCCAAGGCAAGACCACATCAGCTGAACAGAGGCGACACCAAGAAATGAACAGATAGAGCCAACCAGATGACAATTGCTGACCTTTGCTCAGTGCATATCGAACCATTACAGTCAGCAAGGTTATGCTGGTCGTAGCTATCTTTTGTAGATGCGCACAAGTCTGCAGTAGATTGTCTGCCGGTATAGGCAGGTCAACGGTCTAGTTGTATAGAGCTTGTACACATATCACAATTTGTCAACATGTGCTGTTACGTGCTATTATGTGCTGTTATGTGCTGCTGTTACGTTCTGCTGTCATCTGCTGCTGTTACGTTCTGCTGTCATGTGCTGCTGTTACGTTCTGATGTCATGTGCTGTTTGTATCTGCTGCTATGCGTTGTAACCATACTTGCGGCGCATCGCGATGCGCTGCACTGCGCACGTGCGCCGCACCGCGCATCCTGCACGACGCGCGCGCACCTCCAAAAATGGGGGTGCAAGGAAAATAGGCAACAGCGAGATGACAATCCCAGATCACACCATCACATTGCAAGCCAAATAGTCACACCGTGTCCAGATAGCAGCATTGCACCAATAATACACCAATGGAGTTTCGTATCACTGAAAACCAATGTTCATGGAGAGCACACTCTCTCCTCTCACTAGTGTCCAGTTCCCTTACACTCACACTTGGCGCTCAGCGCCCAGCCTACTCCTACACAGCTACTACAGACTACAAAAAGACAATGCAAGTGTTGACATCAGCAGCAGCCCGAAGTATTTGAAGATGCCGCCCATGCAGACCATCGCCAATACAAGGTACGTGCCCTCACATCATCATCATCATCATCCTTCACCTATCCCCTGACTTCACCCACACTTGTCCTCTCTGTCACCCGAAGACCACCCCTGCGCTTCACTGTAGTCCAAGCCCACCAGCTATGGTGGCTGGGCTATGGCGCTGCCCTCGGCAGCGCCCTCCTCCTTTGCACGACCGCACGTGCTGCACCTCGCCTCTCCTCACTAGCAGCAGCCTACGAGCATAAGCTCCAGCAGCGCTGCCGCCCAGCATGCGAGTGCCTGAATGAGGCTGCCTGGCCAGAGCTCTTTCCTTTATGGAAACAAGTGGACCCGCCGCGGCTACGCTGCGGCGCAGGACAATGACAAAAACATTTTGCGAAACACCCCAGTCATCAGTTGGAACATGCCAGCCGAAAAGGCCATTCCACTGTGGCAATATCTTTCAGGGACATTTTGACATATATGTCAACTTATGGGGGCATTTGGAAAATTACCCCTCCCCCCCAAAAAAGGCTGACTCTCTCTCTCTCTCTCTCTCTCTCTCTCTCTCTCTCTCTCTCTCTCTCTCTCTCTCTCTCTCT